GCCACCATGGACACCATCAAGCACGTCCCAGCTCTATCCCCTAAGCCCTTGTCTGGGGAGTATTTCTGGGCCAGCAAGTCCACTTTGGCACTGATTTCAGATCAAGTCTCCTGAAGCCTCGTCTCAGGCTGGCCACACTGCTCCTGTGGAATTACACACAACTGCGGGCTGTAGCCAGCCCAGGACCCGAGTGCAACCCAGTGAAGACCCTGCCACGAAACCATTATTGTAAGATCAAAATAAACCTCCCCACATTGTAAAGGAATGCTAGAAAGCCTTCAAAGGCACATGTTTGGCTTTAGAGACTAAAGAATAACTTTTTGATATGTATGAGATTCAGCCAATAGTAGAAATTGGCAGAGGGTAGAGAGGCCCTTGGTTTCCTGGTGCCCACATTCTCCGGGCTTCCTGACTGAAGGCTGCCAAGAGGGCAGTGACTCTGTCCCAATTCTGGCCCCTTGCCTGCCTTCTCACTCCCATGGAGACCTTACCTACAGATGTGTCTGTTTCATCACCTCACCTCCAGAATCAGGGGGCTGGGAATAACCGTGTCACCCTTGCTGAGGGGGAGACCCAAACCAAGCCCCATGTATGCTCATGCCACAAAGAGAAGAGGTTTACAACAAGAGCTTGGATGAAAAACAAACCAGCTGTGATCCAATTAAAAAGTCTTGAAACACACACATGCATTAAGGGGGCCAATCCCCAAGCATGATGCCTAGCTGAGGCCCCAAGTCTCATCCAGCTCAGACACGAAGAAGATGTTTCAAGCAAGCTCTCATTCACCAACATGGAGAGCCAATCCTCCTTCCACCTGGGCAGGAGATCTTGTGCCTTTCCTACAGACTTTGCTCTGGGAACTAAAGCCAAGGACCAATTTCTTTGGAGGGCCAGCCTTGCTGTTGTAGGTCATGTTCTAACCCACCTGAGCATAGCAGAACACCTGTTCTGTACACCAGAACCCTAGCTCCGGCACACCGGAGGTGCTCAACAAGCAAGCCTGCCATTCTCTCCAAGCACTGCTCCCAATGTGAGGCACAGGTATCCAGAGATGAATCAGACAGGGGCCCTGCTCTTAAGCATTCATAGCCTCTCCGAACCAAAGAGCTATTCAGAGGAATGACTGATGTGAGAGAGAAGGGGACCATGAGAAAGACGCGCAGGAAAGCAAAAAAGAGGTAATCAGGGAAGGCTTCCTGGAAGCAGCATTTGCAGAACACGGAAGTTCTAAGACGGGGTGGCAAACTACACCCTGTGTGAGGGCCAAATCCAGCCCACCACCTGCTTTGGGATAGTCCATGAGATAAAAAGAAGTTTTATATATTTTAAGGGTTAACTTTTAAATGGTTATACAAATACATATATGATATCGTTGATTTTGCCTCTTAGCCAATAAAGCATAAAATATTTGCACTGTAGTCTTTTAAAGAAGTTTGTCAATCCCTATTCTAAAGCACAAAAAGATCACAAGCTAGCAAGTCAAAATCATGGCTAACATTTGCTGAGAGTTTACTACATCCTGTGTCCTACAGTCTGCAGACATTATTTAATCTTCACAATAGGCCTATAAAGAGGATATTATCCCCACTTTATAGAGCAGGAAACTGAGTCACAGAGAAGTCAGTATCTTGCCCAGAGCCTTGGCAGCCAGTTAGTATAGAACCTGATGCCAAAGCTGCCTCTCAATCACTAACTTAGGTGCCCGTCCAGTTCCCTATAGAGAGAATGTATGAGCAGGACATGTGGGAGAAAAAAGCGCCCATGTGGCCAAGAAAAAAGGGAAGCAGAGGCCAGAAATGGAACAGATTATGGTGGGAACTGCCAAGTAGGTAATTATTCTGCCCTCAATGCATGGTAAATATCATGGGCATATGGTAATTTCACTGTGAGGCTGAAATAGGAGCAAAAGATTAGAAACAACCTAAGTGTTGATAAGTAGGTGGCTCAATTATAAAACATCATGAAGTCTTAAAAAAAAAAAAGAACTATTCTTTAACTTCATTGTGTTGGTCAGCTATTGCTGCGTAACAAATAATCCCAGGCACTTAATGGCACATAACCAGCATTTATTTCCCAGGTGTCTGTAGATCCACTGGCTCAGCTGGGTGGCCCTATGCTTCAGGTTAGGCCTCTGTCTGTTCCACTCATCACTCAGTCTCCTTGGACCAGGGGTCTGGGCGTGCATGTTTTTCTCATGGTGATAGCAGAGGCCCACAAAGCAAATGAAACAAGCAAAGCCTCAGCTCAGAATAAACGCATGGTCCCTTCACCAAGGGTCCCTTCCCTAGGCCTAAACAAGGCACACGGACCAGCCCAAAGCCAAGGGACTTTCACCTTTTGTAAAAGTGCTGAAAAGTTACATGGCAAAGGGTAAAGACATGGGGAGAGGCGAAGAATTAGAACAACGATTCAGCCAATTTCATAAACTATTATAGAACAACATTAGGATAGATAATAGTTTGGCTACTTGCCATAGCTGACACCATTTCTTAATCACAGTGACAGTCAGGGACATATTCTCTCCCTTAACATGAATGTTCCTCAGGCATGATTTTCACATTAAAGACAAGTTTTTAATGCCATTCACTCACACAGCACAATGTGGTTAACATCTGCACTGGCCACCTTGACCATGACATATTGGCATCTGTATCACCCCAACATTCTGCTGCAATTCCCTTGAGGCCCCCTGGTACAACCCCAGGAAATGCTAAGAGGAGGATGGACTCAGGGTCCTGAGAATGCCCCACGCACATCTGAGAGCGCACTGCTCAGCACCTGACCCGGGCCTCTGCTCCTCACTGCTATGTCACCCTGCTACCATGTACACCACCACCATGACCACCATCCACAGATCAGAGATCACAGTAGTTGCTTTTATCCTTAATTGTCTTCAATCCCTTCTTTTTTTTTTTTTTTTCATTAATAGAAGAAATTTCACAGGCTGAAAACCACATCAAGCACATTCAGTGAATCAGGGCCACATTGGCTGCCTTGGAGAACAGTGTCCCTAACCTGACAGGGCTGTGAGGCCAAAGTCAGGGACCACTCTGAGGGGCCCAGGGGAGGGTGGGGTACATGGAGGGAGTATATCCACAGCAGAAAAGCGTCAAGTTCAGATTTCAGTGTGTAATGTGTGCATATAGAAATGCACCTTCCGGGCAGCACCTGTGGCTCAGTGAGTAGGGCGCCGGCCCCATACACCGAGGGTAGTGGGTTCCAACCAGCCCTGGCCAAACTGCAACAAAAAAATAGCCAGGCGTTGTGATGGGCACATGTAGTCCCAGCTACTCGGGAGGCTGAGGCAAGAGAATCGCCTAAGTCCAAGAGCTAGAGGTTGCTGTCAGCTATGACGCCACAACACTCTACCAAGGGAGACAAAGTAAAACTCCGTCTCTAAAAAAAAAGAAAGAAAAATGCATCTTTTAAAATCTTTCTGAAAATGCCAGTGCCTCCTAGAATTTTAATTTTTTTTTAAACTTACCACTCTGATAATAAAGAATTCAAACCAAGCCTTCTGCTGAAGCTACTAAAAAACCTGGACAAAATATGTTTTAAAATATGAGTAAAAGCATTTTAGAACTAGCAAGACAGTAAAGAATTACCAGGCCCAGATATGATAGCATCAAGAACCAGAGAGGCGAGGATAGCATGTGACATTTGTGACCCCAGAGAAACAGCTGGTGCTGTAACAGCCTGCTTGGGCAAGAGCACAAAAAGTCAATGTCAGAGGCCCACTCAAGGTGGGCGGCCCTATTATCCCCCATTTAGGTGAAACTGCAAAGGCCCACAGCATGAGGGTGACGGCAGAAACACAGCCAGCACTGCACTGCACGGTGCACTCTCCTAAATCTGCTGGGTCCCCTCCCCGGGCACGGTACACACCTGCCCACTCTAGGATGAAATAGACTTTGCACTGGGTGAGTGACTGCAGAAGTTTATTGCTGTTGACTTCTGTTTGTACCTTATCAAGCCCTGTTAGTCACCTCTGTGATTGCTTTCAGGGTAAGTTCCTGGTTAGAAACACAGCCCCAAATGATGCCTGCAACTCCCTCTGTGAGGACCAACTCTGTTACATGGTTTACCCGCTCACATGTCAGCAGAAGACAACTCCTGCCTCTGTGAATGCAAATTCCTGAAATGTACTGTTTATTTTGAGCATACATGTTGCAAAGCAAAAAGTCCGAAATCAGATAATCTTGGGTTCAAATCCCTATTTTGTTACTTACAAGCTGCATAACCCCAGGCAAATTACCCGCATAACCAAGTCCCATTTTCCTCATCTGCAAAATACGGATGATTATAATAATAATACCACAATGATAATACTCACTTAAAGGAGCACTGGGAGATGTCAAATATTGGGCCAAGAGCCTGGAAACTTAATAAGTGCCTGCTATTACTAATATTAGCATAAATGCGATCTTGGATACCAGTTTAGAATACTAAGGACATGGTAATAGTAACAGCTACAGCACATGGACCAGAGCTTACTCTTAAGTCTAGAAGTGATACCTGAACATTCTAAGGTAGGTGGGTAAAGGACCAATATGTTCACATGACTGTAAGATACTATGCCTACCTCACACTGCCTGTCTTGGAAGCAGAAGGCTTAATCTCTGACCCCAGAGGCTTTTGGGTCAGAGGGAAATAAGAAATGCACACCCAAGGCTGTGGGTCGCTAAGGGGTCCCCTAAGAGAGGAAATGGGGTTGTCTTTGAGGTGGGAGAGGTAGGAAAGCAACCAAGAAGTCCAGGAAATCCAGAAATGGCTTTAGGCAAATCAATCAGGCCAATCTGGCTGTGAGGTCTGCTGTGCTGCGGAGGTGTGAACACACCACAGAAGCTGCTGGAATGTTCTCACCCCCACATGATGGGTAAGAATAGATGGGAGGCCCCAGGCAGCCCCATGCCTGGGGAATCTGGAGTCAGGCTGCTGCACCAGGGCCTGCCCTCCCGGGACAGGTGACTCAGGCAGAGGCTCTCTGGCACCTCACTTACTCTCTTTGACATCTTCATGGGCCACAGGGACACCGTGATCATCACTGGCAGCCTTCTCAGTGTTCTTGGTTCTCATGCCTTTTCTGTTGCTTTTTTTACCTAAAAAGGGAGAGAAAGAGATGGCTTTACTTCCACATATGCCGGGCAGGCTCAGGGTGCTGGGAACTCAACCATCCTCTCCTGCACAGCCATTGTCCCCTCTGCTCCCTTGACTTCAAAGAGGGTACCTTGGACTCCAAGGGGTCTCTGGTTAAAAGAAAGGAAGTATGTTGTTATAAACGCCCAAGAAAATAAACTCTCTTAATAAAACCAATGTACAAGCTGTCACCATCACAAGATTGCAGGATGCTTTGGAAGGTACATCTGACCGTCACTGAGGCCCAGGGATCTTGTATAAAATTGATGGAACAAGAAGTGGAAATCCAGCTAGCATCTTATACCATGCTAGGCTTCTCCCATCTCCCTCTCCTAGGCCCTGCCTTGATGGCTGTGGGTGACAATGTTGCCCCCAGTGGGAGTCCTACTGCCACACTCCTCTAACCTCCCCAGCTTCCTTGCACCCTGCACACTCTCTCTCTCTCTGCCCCAGCAACACTGGCCGCCTTCCAGCCTTCAGTTCATGCCTCCTGCTCATCTTCCTGGAATGCACTACCTTCACTCAAGCTAATTAGCTCCTACTAATCTTATAAATCTCAGTTTTGACATCACATCAGCCCCTTATACTAGTCTTCCCAACCTCCCTACCAAAATCAAACCCTCCTTTGATGGGCTCTGAAAGCATCTGTCTCAGCCCAAGTTGCCTCTAAGCAGAGCCTGATGCAGGGGTTTGGGTGCACTGATGTCTTGAGAGAGGAAGGAAGGGAGAGAGGGAGGCAAGGAGGATGGGGTTGGGGAAGGAATTAAGCAAGCCTACAGTCTTAGCGTGAGTTTGGCTCAGTCTCAGCATGAGTCTGGCTCAGCACATGCCCCGGAAGGAAGTGCTGGAGCAACAGCGCACACAGAGTTGCCCCCACTTGAAACAAAGGGCCACCCTCTCTACTGCAGTCAGCCTCTGGCTACAAACTGACCCACTGGGGAATCGGAGATGTAGCCTCCCCAGGGAACTTTTGCAGAGGTGGGAGATGTGCAGCAGCTGGAGGACAGGTGTGCCTGTGGGGAAACAAGGAACACCTGTGGGGGCACTGGACGCCCCACCACAGCTCTGCACACCTGTCCTGGGGCAGCACCCCACACCACACACCTTAGTTAGCACCCTGACACCAAAGCCCCGGCAGCACCCACACCACGCCTCAGGCAGCACTCTGTTACCACACCCCAGGTAGCACCCAGACACTACATCATATTAGATCCAGACCCATGAGCAAACCCAGCTCTGCTCAGCTCTGGGATTCTAGTAACGGTCTAGATGTCACGCAAATGTCCTACTTCCCCAGAGAGTCTGATTTCCCTGGGGACCAACATGGGAATTCCCGGGGATGGGATGAATGGCGCCGAGACAGCAGGCTGGGCCCGGCACCCTCACTCAAGAAGCAACAGGCAGGGGTTAGGTCCCAGTCCAGGTCCAGCCAGGTGTGTCCCAAACTCCTCGAGTCCTCAGGTGACCTGCCCACCTCTCTGTGTCCCTCATCAGTAGGAGACAACCACAGTGCCACAAAGGAAGTCACAGCAGAAAACAAGTGATGCGAACAAAGCACTCACTGAACAAAGGCAGCTTCTTTTTTTCCAACCTTGAATGTCATTATGGAACCCACAGGCCACAAAGCTCTATTCCCACTGCTGGAAGGATGGCAGCTAATGTGTGTAGCATGATTCACAATGTACAGGGCATTTTCACATCAATTCTAACATCCTGCCTCGGCCAGGACCCACTGAGGACACCAGAGTTTTTTATGAGCATCATTTTATGGGGACTTTGAGACTCAGACAGGAGAACAGATCTGCCTAAGGTCACAAATGAGCTGAGACTGCCCCCAACTCTAGGCCCTTCCCAGACGTCACATGGGCCCCCTTCATAGCCCCTTCCTCTCTTACAACAAGAAGGACAGCATCTGCTCTGCACAAACAGAAGAAGAAAGCGAGATGGAAACAGCGTGCAGAGGAGCCAGAACCCAACCAGCGCCTCCGTCTGGGCAACGGGACAAAGCAGAACCCCTTAAAGTCACAAGCTGAATGCAGGCCACGTGTTCTATCCTGGTCTGCAGTGATAAATACAATTCTTGGTTCATAGAACACTATTTTTCCCTTCTCTGTACAAAGAGCTTATGGTAGCAACTCCCCAGAACCTGGGGGAAAAATGCTTTGCTGCATTTTTGCATTTTCCCCAGGAAATGCCAGTCCAACAAGCCATGCCCAGTGTCTCCTGTGAAGGGCTCTGCCCAGGGCTCAGAGGTCCTTGCCTGCCTCTGGCTAAAGGACCCACATTAGGAGGAAGACCTCAGGGCAGATTATAGCTACAGCCATTGACGCACCACAAACACCAGTGGGTCCTGGAAACTCTCACATAGGGAGAGCCAGGAGGACCCTGCAGGGGAAAACTTAAACCAAAGCAGCTGGAGATACCTGCTCCATAGCATGTTATTAGGAGTCACCTGTGCCCTTATCCAACTCTGAGGACAGGTGGCTCCCAGAGGAAGCAAGGATCCTGGCGATCAGGTGGACATAAGCAGCTGGATGGTGCACTTGTGTCCATGCATCAGTGACCTCAATGGTCTAGGGCAGCGGTTCTCAACCTGTGGGTCGCAACCCACAGGAACTGTATTAAAGGGTTGTGGCATTAGGAAGTTGAGAGCCACTGGTCTGGGGGCAACATGAGACTGTGGGTGGACATGGAGGAACTAGCAAAATTATCTGAGTGCGTTTTACCAGAGCTAGAGCAAAACCAAGCAAGCGAGCAATTCAAATCCTGCCACCGTCCCTCTCCACTGGGTCTTTCTTCTCTGGGAAACCCTCCTCTGGGGCAGCCACTCCTGCAGAAGGCACAGGCCCCATCAGACCAGGGGCATAAGGGACAAATGGGGTCAGCTAGTACCTTAGCAGCCACCACTCCCACCCTCCATGCAGTCAGCAGCTGCTTTCCTGACTTGCACCCAAATACAGCCCTTTGCCTTAAAGAGACACCCTGGTACAGGCAGCTGGGCCTGAGCCTTCACTGTGCAGGGTACCGCTCGTATGTGCCAGAGTGGGTCTGCCTGCAAACAGAGCCTGAGACAAGAAGGCCTGGGGCACAGCACTGTGCCCAGGAGAGGATTTCAAGAAGCACCAGGAAAAGGCAAAAGCAATGAGAAAGGGGAAAGGAAAAACCAATAACCAGACTGCGCTGCCTGGCAGAGGACTCTTCCTGGCTGGGGTGTCCAAGGAAGCTGGGTCAGGTGCCTCTGGGCCATACCTCCAGAGGCTGGGAGGCTGGGCATTGACCCATGTCACTGCACACCTGCCTGGGACACTTGGGTTACTACTGTTGCTGTGCCACAGTGAGAAAGTGAGGCCTAGAGAAGTCATATGTGTCCATGAACGGCAGAGCCAAACTCTGACCCCAGCGCTCTCTGAATCCCAAACAAACTCAGTGGGGATCACCTCCACGTACCCTGCAGAGATCAGGTGTTCCACACACATCGGTGACATCAGGATCTTAAATTAAAATTGGAAGCTGTTATGTGCCATGCCAACATCCTGTGATTCCCGATGAGTAGCCAGCTGGTACCTGCCAGCTAGCTGTGGAGTCAGCCCTTCCACAAGGCCATACAAAGAAACCCTAATTCCAGGAGTAGTTTCATGGGCCCAAAGCAGCAGCTGCAGTGGCCAGGAGGGCCTGAGAGGGCCACAGAGGCCAAAGCCTCTGCAACCTGTGTCACCTCAGATTCAGGTGACACTAAACCTGAGAGCTCAGGCTTCCTGGCCCCTCAAGGACATCCAGAGGAAGCCCCCACTTCAAAAATCTAGGCTCTAGGGCCAGGCTGCCATTGTCCCAGCACGCAAGGCATCAGCCCCCATGAGCTCTGTCAGGCACAGCATGTGGGACACAAAGGAAACATGGGGGCTATTTTTAAGGACGACACCATCCAAGCCAACTTCCCCAAACGTGGGTGTGTCCTCTTTATTATTTGCACGAGCCCTGGTTTGTAGAACCGTGGGCACAGGCAGGAGGGAATGTGCCAGAATTAGTAGTTGACTTTGGAAAGCCTTCTGGAAAGGGAGGTGGTGTCTTAGAAAGCTGCTTGCTAATGGACAGGAAACGACGTCCTCTCCCTTGGAATTTTATAGGGAGTTCACCTGGACAAAACACTAGTTAACTGTTTAGGTGTGCTAATAGAACCATGATTGTTTTTAAAAATACATATTGAAATATTTACAAACACAATCTCCTAATCCTTACACTTCAGCTTTGCCCACGACAAGACATTTCCATCCAAGGCCAACACTGCAAACCACCCTGCAAAGAGACTAAGGGAAGGCTAAATGTGAAACCCTTTCCACCCAGGGGCCTGCAGCACACACAACAGAAAGGGCTTTGTTTACAAGTAAACAAGCTCAAATAACAGCTCTTTAGTTATTTTCCCCACCACTACAGCCCAACACTGTACAAAAGGCAAACTCCAGAATTCCCGGGACAGACATACAAACGAACGTGGCTTGTTGCCCACCCTGCAAATTCCCTGGGCCCAGGGCTACGGCGGGGATGTGGGTTTGGGCATATTTGAACAGTGGTGCATTCTTGCCAGTGCCTGAAGAAAGAAGAGACAAAGGACCAAGAGGAACCCAAATCTAAAGGCTACACATCCAAGCCTACTTCTAACCCAGTGTGCAGTAAAGGCAGAAGGAAAAGTTCTTCAAATCACTTATTCAAATCAATAATTCAGTTTATTGATTTGTTCATTACTGCCAAGTGGGAGAAAGAAGGTGAGTTATATAACAATGGTTTATTTCTCTGTCTATTGTAGTCTCCAAAAACAGCATGGCCACAAACCAAGGTCATCAATGTGGAAATGGTGTGGGAAGCAAGTACAGCCCATGACTGCTTGCATGCCCGATCTGTGGCCCCTCACCCCATCCCTAACCCCGGGATAATGAAAACCAAAGCCAGAGACTCACATTTGGGACCC